GGAGGGTCATGAGAAGAGGGGCCAGCCATGGGAAGGGTTGATAAGTTGTTGAATGAAAACATGACGGTCTGATAAGTAAACTCCCCCCTAATTCACAACAAAAGTTTTTAAACATTTACATTCGTCTTATTGCCAACCAGCACCACTACCTGTTTTCAAGGTTTACCATCACAGCAGACAGCTGCCCAGTGCTCCTAAGCAATGGGCCCTGCCCTCCCTCCTCTATGGCTTTCTGACTGCATCCCGCCTCGGCCCAGGATTCCTTTGTGCCACTGCAGACAGATTAATGCCTTGTGCCAAGCAGCGGGGTGTGGTGTCACACACTATATGCCACGAACATTAAATTATTTCAGAATTCCATTTTTCTGAAACATCCAGTAAACCTGTGTCCTAGTCGCCTGGGGGGTGCTGAGTGGGCTGGCTTCATGACTCCCATAAGAACTACGGTCCATGGGTGCTCTCTTGCCTTGGTGAATGCAGCAAGACTCCTGTTCGACGGGCCTAGAGCTCCTGTCGTGTAAGGTCTGTGCTTGGCCTGTCCACTTTGCTCACCTGTGTGAGCACCAGGCCTCCTGAAGACGGGGCTTGGTGGGGACCAAGCTGCTGCATCACTCCTTCCTAGAGGATACAATCTTAGAGAGGTGGCAGAGCTGGTGGTCACTAGGCTGCGTTCCTATTGTGATGATTAATTGTATGTGTTGATTTGACTTGGCTATGTTGACCAGCTGTCTGGCCCAACACTGACCTGACTGCTGCCGTGGGATGGTGATCTGTGATTCAATCAGGCGGCCTTGGGTAGAACAGATGGTCTTCCATTCACTGTTGTGAGGTGTTGTCAAGTTGCTTCCACTCATAGAGACCCTAGGTGTTAACAGAATGCAACACTGTCTGGTCTTGAGGCCAGTGTTGCAGCTCCTGTGCCAATCCATCTTGTTGAAGGCTTCCCTCTTGTCCGCCAACTCTCTACTTTTACCAAGCACGATGTCTTTCTCCAGAGACTGGTCTCAAAGTCCTAGTGCAAGAGACAAAATCTTGACACCTTTGTTTCTAAGGAGTATTCTGGCTGTACTTCTTTCAAAACAGATTTGTTTGTTTCTGGGAGTTCGTGGTAATTTCAATAGTCATCAACATGGTAATTTAGATACAACAATTCTTCTCCAGTCTTCCTTTTCCACGGTCCAACTTTCACATGAATATGGTGATGGAAAACACCATGGCATGGGTCCGTGGCACCTCAATCCTCAAAGTGACATCTTTGCTTTTTAACAATTTGAAGAGGTCTTTTGCAGAAGACTTCCCCTGGCAATGTGCTATCTGACGGCAGCGTCCACGGATGTTGGTGGTGAATGCGGGCAAAATGAAATCCCTGACAATGTCTACGGCTTTTTTTTCATTTTTTCCCTGTTTATCATGATGATGCACATCCAGTTGTGAGGGTTTTTGGTTTATATTCAGGTGTAATCCCTAATGAAAGCTGTAGTCTCTGCTCTCCCAGGATGTAATGTAATTTGTTGCTCACTGCTGATGAATTGACCCCCAGCTCATGGTGACTCCATGCACAATGGAATGAAATGCTGCATAATCCAAAGTCATATCCATGATCGTTGACATGAGCTGTTGTGATCAATAGAAAGTAGACAGAGCACAAGTCTTTCTTGGTTGTCCATTTTCCTTGTCTACAAACCCTACTGAAACCTCTCTGACATCACAACCAAGCCTCCAAAGACGGATGGGTGGTGAGTAGGCCTAAGGTGCATTGGCCAGAAATCAGACCTGGGTTGTCCTGCGTGGAAGGAAAGAATGATGCCACCCAAACATGCTGCCCCGTGTAATGTAATCACCTCATGCTAACAGTTAACACAGCTGTTCTCAACCTGTGGGTTGCAACCCCTTTGGGGGGTAAAACAACCCTTTCACAGGGGTCGCCCGATTCGTAACAGTAGCAAAATGACAGGTATGAAGTAGCAAGGAAAATATTTTGGGGTTGGGGGTGGGGTGTCACCACAACATGAGGAACTGTATTAAAAGGTTGCGGCATTAGGAAGGTTGAGAACCACTGTGTTAACACTTTCCATAATGCAATCCAATGTAATGCGATTGATCCAGCCATCAGAGGAAGTCACACTGGTGTCAGGCCACACCAGAGGATGCCAAACCGAATCATTTCTGAGTTACAAAGTGATCAGATGGGGGAGACACACTACGTGTGAGGGTTCTCAAACAAAGGGACCCAAAAGAAGACCAACATCACAGGCAGACACCAGAACTAGGAGAGGCTCAGACAGAGCGCCCCCACACCCCAACAGTGAGAAGTCAATCATGATTCTTCAAGGTACCCACAGGTGGTATTTCTCTTACAGCGGCACTGGCAGACTAAGGTTCCCGTCCTCTATCCATGATGGGCAATGGGGGTCAGAAGGGAGCATCCTGTGTAATGACCAAACATGGGACGTCAAGTCCCATCAAGGTCAACCCAGCTCTTTTAAAAAAATGATTTTATTGGGGCTCATACAACTCTTATCACAATCCATACATACGTCCACTGTGTCAAGCGCATTTGTACATTCGTTGCCCTCATCCTTCTCAGAACCCTTCCTCTCCATGGCCCTCTGTGAATGTGGATGGAATGGAAATGTGCCTCAGGCCAGCATCAGAGTCATTAAGAAGCCAACATGTCAAATCAATCCGGATCCCTTGAGTTGGGATCTCTACACCCCATCTTGGGCAACCCAATTTAACATTGCAATCCACAGCCTGGCTCACCGTGAGCTTGGTGATTTTCATGGTGTTTTAAAAGGAAGACGTATCTGGTTTGTATTCCCGGGAGATCAGTAAGCTGGTGAATTCTGTAACTTTCCTCCTTCCCGTTTTTGCATTTTCATGTCCTATCCCCAGGCCCCATGGGAAACTTTGAAGCCCAAGTGCTAGTTTGGGGATTATAAATCTGGGAGAGTCTGGGAAATACAAAGACCTGGAGTCCTTAGGAACTAGAGGGCTGAGGAATGGGGCCCTTCCACTCCACCCCCACGCACACTCCAGGGCTTATAGCACTCACCGTGCTGTGAGAGGAGGGCCCTCACTTTATTTACAATAGTGTCCATTTCTGGTAAAAGTAACCGTTTCAGAACCTGGAAACTCAGGAACGAAATCTGTCACTCTAGTTGCCTTCCACTTTCTAGAGGGTGTCTTGGAGAAAAGTGGGTGTCTTCAGGTGGGAACCAGCCTAGGCGACTTCAACCCTTAACCCAAACGGGACTGTTTCTCTCACACTGCCCGGAGAAGCTGGGGGGCTGGTGTTTCTTCCCGGGTGTGTGCTTTCGGGGGCGTGAGGGTGATTTAAATGCCCGTGGAGCTTGAAACAGTTCCAGAAAATACTCAAGCGGCTAACAGAACCTTTAGAACGAATATCTGTTTTTCCTAAAGCCGGCAGAAAGGCTGTCATTGGCCAGGGCCCACAGCCACCTAAAGGTTAAAGGGTAAAGTGAAGGACACACCCTGCCCACAATCCAGGTGGACGGAGTTGGCCTCCGGAGCGCCGGTCAACCCTCGCGAAGGCAGGGGGCGTTTCAAAGGGGTGTGAAGAGTCAAGCCACCCGCCCTCCACTGCCCTGCGCCCGCGGCACCTGCGCGCCCGCTCGCCCCTGCTGTCCCAGGTGGAGCCCGGACCCCGGTGGGTGAATAGCCGGGTAACAAGCGCAGGTGGTGGAGGACGAGTCCCCAGAGCCAAAAGCAGGGAGAAGGACGCAGCGGCCGGAGGACCGCCGTCCCCATACACCGCTGCGGTCAGAGCCCGCCGGAGCTGGGCGACCTCCCGGCGGGGCGCCCGGGCACAGAGGGTCTCGGGCTGAGACAGGGGTCTGCGGCCATGGCCGAGGTCTCGGAGCCAGAGCGGGGAGCCCTGGACCCCCAAGGGCCGCCCGAGGCCCCCGCGCTTCCG